GCTCCGCGCAGCACTGTGGTGCTGATCCCTAAGCTCCCTTTTAAGCCCACGGGACCTGCGCCTCGATGAACACTAAGCACGGAGCCCTACGTGCCAATTTCCACCCTTCACGCTTACTTCAAAAAGATGAGACGGGGCAGGAAGTTCAGAAAGAATGTGCCGCAACTGCGGCATCCAATCTCGGAAATTACAGGCACTGCCTTGTCACACACGCCAGGCTGAGCAGGTGCTTTCACCAAACGCCTCCTTCTTGCCAAGAAATCCCTGCTGCAGATTAATAGGAATTTCCAGTTCTCTAAGCATTTCTTGTTCCTCGGAGCTATTACCCCTAAATTTCTAGCACTTCAAAAAAAAAAAAAAAAATACAGGATTTAGCACCTGTTTGTTTCAGAAACACTTGCTAAAAACAGATCTGCCAAAAGGCCATCTCTAAAATTAGTCATATTTCCTGTTCTGCAAAACATAGTAAATTGTATTTTTAGTAACTCCTTCACTCCAGGTATCTGGCACTGTCGTGCTCCAAGCATAATTATTGGCAACTTACTAAGCAGGCAACCCTTATTTTTAGCCCTGAAATAGCTCCAACAAAAGTGATAAACAGGTTTATTTTTCTTTAACCAAGGGTTAGAACAAGATATTTAAACACCTTACCCAATCATTTATGTACCCAACTTTGTAGCTTAGAAAGACTTAATCACAAAAGGAGATCCTCTGTGGCATCAACCCCTGTCCTCTTCGCAGCTTTGCCTCTAAAACTAACTCTCTACCTGAAATATACCGTGTTTGTCTCTGCTGGTGAGTCTTTTAAAAAAATATACTAATAACCTATTATGTGCCAAAATGATACACTGCATAGGTATTGGGGACCAATTTCAGGGCAGCGAGCACAGCCTCTCTGGGTCTTTCAAAGTCATCACTCAATACCCCCGGTTCATCAACTTTGCTCTTTGTCTCAAAGCCACAGTGAATTCTCTTCAAAATCAGATTTTGTAGTCCCTTTTCCTCCTCCAATCATCAGCTTCCTGGAGTTACAGACGCTGTGCCCTAAGAACATACCAGTTAAGAGTCTCACATGACCAGGTGAATTACTTATTTTTAAAGCCATATGAAGAGAGATGACATCCACTCAAAGCTAAAGGAGGACAAAAGTAGATGTCACCCAAACCCATTCTTTCTTTTTCAAGCAGCAACAGCGCCACGTAGATCCAAATGACTTTCAAACAACTTCAGAGGAAAAAGGCAGGCAAAAGACTGCCCAGCAGACAGCAGTGGCTGAAGGAAGCTTCTTGATGAGATAGGATTGAAGGCTGAGATGAAAGTCAGGGAACAGTGGTTTTCTGTCATCTTGGACCGTTAATTCCCAGCAAGCCAGGGAGAGAGGATATTGCCCAAATCTTTCTGGAAATGTGCAGCGAGGTGAAACATAATTAACACACACACACACACACACACACACACACACACACACACCTTCATCCTATGCACCTAAACCAGCAGCACTCTGGATTTTGGCATGAATCACCCAAAACGCAGTACATAGTTTGAGTGCAACTGTGAGGCAGGCCAAATGTGGGTACCCGCTCTTCTTCCCTTTCTCCATCCCACCTTTCAGCTTTTGCATGAACGGATTCCCCATCACAAGATGCCCCGGGGCCTGCCCCTCGGGGGACGGCGTGGGGCCGTGCATCCATTTCTTACTACAGTGCTCATGACTTAGTTTCCCTTCCACTGTGGTCTATGTCCTTTAAAAAAGGAAGGCAGCAATGAAAGTGGAGGGCTCTATCCAAAGAATACACCCCAAAAAGGGGGGCAGTATTCAGGGGGGTAGAAGCTGGAAAGGACCATTCACATCACCCCCTGGGAGGGACACCTCATTTCCCTTCCCCTGGGGTACTGTCACCTTAAGGTCTCCCCTTGCTACGTTCATGTAAGTACCCCTTCGCCAGCCTGAAAACCCTCTTACTGCTCCCCTTGTGAAAAGAGGGCAAGGCTGCACATAGCAGGAGGTTGACTTCACCTCCGTTTGGGCTTAGTAAGACAATATGCAGAAGGCGAGTGTGGATGGGGCTCATGAACTCAGTAATCCCTCCCAAGGTCATGCATGCGCGTGCATGTGCGTGCGTATGCCCTCACGCACACAGACATTTTAATATCTGTGATCTGCCAAAACCCTAATCTGTTAGTTAAGCATTAAAGGTGTTGGATTCGGGAGATAAAAGCTATGAATGACACCCATTGTTTCCTTAAAGCCGACAATTAAGTGAACTAAAATCCAGATGTCTCATGATGCTTGTACTCCCGAAGCACTGATTCTCATGACTAGAGCCAATCAAGCAGTCAAGAATGACAACTTGAGGGACGCCTGGGTGGCTCAGTTGGTTAAGTAGCTGCCTTCAGCTCAGGTCATGATCCCAGCGTCCTGGGATCGAGTCCCACATCGGGCTCCTTGCTCATCGGGGAGCCTGCTTCTCCCTCTGCCTCTGCCTGCCATTGTGTCTGCCTGTGCTTGCTCTCTCTCCCTCTCTCTCTCTGACAAATAAATAAATAAAATCTTTAAAAAAAAAAAAGAATGACAACTTGACAGCCAGTTAATGGTCTCCTCCCCTTCCGGAGACTAGGTGAGATTCACTTAAGAAAGGGAAGGCAAGGGGCACCTGGATGGCTCAGTCAGCTGAGTGTCTGACTCTTGATTTTCAGCTCAGGTCATGATCTCAGGGTTGTGGGTTCAAGCCTCCGGTTGGCTCTGCTTAGCAGCAAGTCTGCTGAAGATTCTCTCTCTCCTTCCCCCTCTGCCACTCCCCTCCCACCCTACCAGCTCACTCGCATACTCTCTCTAAAATAAATAAAATCTTGGAAAAAAAAGAAAAGAAAGATAAGACGGGAGAGGAAGAACATGGACACCTAGGGGTGCAGAACACCCATCTGGAACCCATTTAGGCAAGAACTCCCTGCATTCCAGCTTGTCCTCTGGGCCCAGCACGGAGCACTTGAAGCCCTGAGTAGAGCCTGAGCTCGGAGTGCATCCTCGCCTAGTTCAGCCAAGGCCAACAGCCTTATGTTACGGAGCAAAACGCACCAGTGAGGAGCCAGAGGCACAATGGGGCATGGGAAAGTGGAAAGAGAAGCCAGGAGAGGCCGAGCAGCCGGCCAGGCGAGATGAATGTGCCGCTAATGCCGGCCATATGCTGTCAGTATACGGTCTCGTCTCTTTTTGCTAAGTTTCAAGCGGGAACGTGCGCAACCAGACAGAATCCTGTATGTTTCAAAGGAAAAACAAAGGTCTACTACCCATGCCAACAGGAATTTGCCCAGGCATGGGGAAGTGAGCCCACTGTAGTTGGCGAGGGGGCCTCAGCGGTGCACCCCAGCGGGATGTGTAAGTTGGCCGGCCCACTGCAAACCAAAGGAGGAAAGTATGCTGTGCTCCCCTTGAACTAGAATGAGGTTAGGAGTGTTTTTTCTTCGTCTTTGAAGAGTTACTCAATTCAGTGAGTTAATTCTGTGCACTCCCTTTTTACATGGAAATTCAAGCAAGAGGCACTTTTTAAACTACTCCCTCTAACCCCACCTACGCAAAACAAAGGTACCCCACCGGAATGGGGAGCAGCGAAGGGAGAGAGGACAAATGACAAGGGTGATGGAGACCTGCACTCAAATGCAAGGGGCTTCCAGACCCAGTGGGAAAAGGAGCAGGAAAACCAAAGTTGGGTGAGGCTGGGGACAGGAAGGCAAGGCAGTTCACCCTAGAATCGGAGCTCCACAGTCTGGCACTCCCAGGAACTCCCAGGCTGCGCAGAGGATCCCAAGTCCATGGGCAGAAGGGTAGGTAGGAAGCCTACAGCTTCCCGCTACCCCATATGCTGATCCCTCCATGATCAATGAGCCACCAAAAGGGGCTACTCCCAGGCCAGGCTGGGAGACTCCAAGCCTTTGGGGGGGGGGGGACGAGGAGTAGGGGAAGCCTTGAGTCTGAGATGACCATGAGCTTGCCCCAAACTTGGGCAACTGCCAGGCAGCCTCACCACCCCACCTGGGATGACCCAGAGTCTGGACTACTCCCTGCAAAACAAGTCATCCTATCTTGGGTTTCTTCTCGCAGATCCGAGTTACAACTTAGAGCTACCGCGGCAACACCTGGCCAGGGGTTCACAACCATCTAACTTCTCCGGGGAGGGGGGAAGGCTGTGCCCCTTCGGGTCTCTGGGGCTCTTCCTTTGCTTTCCCTTCTTCCTGGAAGATCTGAAGGCACCTCCCAAACCCCAAAGCCTGGGGATATCCGTGTGTAGTTCGGTACCTGCAGCTCCCACCCATTGGCTGAAAAGAATGGAGGAGGGATGGAGGGAAGGAGATGGGCATGCTTGGGGAATGGAGGGGTGGGTGAGATCGGAAAGCAGGGGTGGGAGGGAAAGGGAGTTGGGGGGGGAGGCAGAAAACCCTCATCTGAGCACGAAAAACTTCCCTAGCTGTGCCAGCCTACAGGTGGAAAATGTCCCTGGGCGTCCCGGCCTTGCCCCACCTCCTAAGCCCAGGAGGGGAATCAGAGTCTAAGCTTCCCCAAGGGCTGGCCAAGCGGCTCCCCCACCCTCAGAGTAACGGCCCACGCGACACAACGGCCTGACTCCTGCCCCTCCAAGCATCCGGGACCCCTGAGGGACAGCAAGAACGCAGCACCTCCACCATCCCCCCGCGCTGGCGTCCACCAGGCGGCGCCCTTCGAGGAGCAAAAAGGCTGCGGGTGGCTTCGTGGGTAAACCAGCCGCCCCCCGGGGAAGCCCACCCCACACCGCCCGTCGGGAAAGGCCGGTCGCTCCGTCGCGGGGGCGTGCGCGCGCGATGGACTCGTCCCCTCTCCCCACCCGCAAGGAAAGGCAGGGGGAAAGGGGAGGGGAGGGGCCCGGCCGGGACTGCGCCGCCTGACTCCCGGTGCAGTGCTCCCGGCGGGGTCCCCTCCGCTCCTCCCGCCCCGAGGGCCCGGGGACCCCGCGCCCCGGGCGGCTCACCTTCTCTCCGGTCAGCACGTGCAGCCCCTCGCGCACCTTGGCGAAGGAGCCCTCGCCCAGCTTCCTGCTGCCGATGAGGTAGTTGCCCACTCGCTTGTGGTGCTGGAAGTCGCGGAGCCGCTCGCGGGGCACGCCGCTCACCCAGGCCGGCAGGAAACTTCCCTCGCAGGCCGCCGCCGGCCTGGCCGCGTCCTCCGCGCCGCCGCCGCCCCCGGGCGCCGCCGGCTCGCCCAGCAGCCCATCCCCGGCCGCCGCCGGCATCGCGCTCGACCGCGGCCCGCCGGCTCGGCTGGG